AAACAACTAATAAAATATTTTTTTATATAACTAAAACTAACTAATAAACTATTTTTTCATTAATATACTACTAATAAACTTACTAACTAAACTAACTAATAAACTAACTAATTTTTACATAATATATTCAACAAACAATATAACTTAACTATTTAACTAACAAAACTAATTAAATAATTTTTTTTATATAACTAACTATTAACAAAACAAACTAATTAATTATTTTTAACTATATAACTATCAAACATATACTAATTAAATAATTTTTAATTTATGTATACTATAACTTAAACTAACAATCATATAACCCTAAACTAATAAACTAATTAACATTTATAATAATAAACTAATTTAAATATAAACAAATTTACCTTATCTCCCTTTCTTCTTCTTACTTTCCTTTCTTTCTCCCTTTCTTTCTTTCTCGGCTGAATCTCTTCTCCCTTTCTTTCTTTCTTTTATGTGTGATCTTTCTTCTTGCAATTTGCACACCCCATATATAACCGGCTGCCTCAATTATTTCACCAACAATGGTTCAATTATTGTTCATGCATGGTCTCGTCTCGTGAGCTAGGATCACATGTCATGCTGTAGGCATGCAGCGGGGAGCAGGAGCACGTGAAGTTATCTTGGCATGCATGCAGGCATGCAGCGGGAGCAGGAGCACGTGAAGTTATTTGGCTGCATGTGCATGCATGGTCTCGGGAGGCAGTGGACGCCGGGGCGACCTACAAGGTCGCCGGGACTACATGGCGACCTACAAGGTCGCCGGGACTACATGGCGACCTACAAGGTCGCCCAGACTGCATGGCGACCTCTCTATTGGCTGGCTCGTTTGCATGGCGACCTCTCCGTTGGCTGGCTCGTCTGCATGGTGAGTATATGGCTTGTATGGCTCGTCTGCATGGGTATGGCTCGTCTGCATGGTGAGTATATGGCTTGTATGGCTCGTATGTCACTCGTATGTCTCCCGTATGTCGCCTGGATTGCATGGCGTCCTACGAGTTCACTGTAGAATTCACCCCATACCAGCAATTAATCTGAAATGTGCATTATATCGTGAATAAAAAAAATCGAGAACATTATCTCGTTGAATTCACCTTTTGGTTCGGGAGCGGGATGCGGCGCTACATTCTCCTTTTCATTTTCCGTCTCCTCAACATTTTTCCGGACACTACTATTTTCCCCAACCAAATCATTTTTGGAGTTGGAAGGATCAGCCTTCATTATGGCGCTACTGGAAGTCTGTTTCTTCCTCTTGTTTGCTCTCTTTTTCAAGCCACCACATTTGATAGTTGGTTCATCAAAGTCAGAATTCTTGCTACCAACTGCCTTCCCAGGATCAGTTTCATTTGTTCTATTCTCCGAGGCAGATGGACTCCCATGTTGAATGGAATCATGGCTGACATGTTCCACTTCTACAAATGTTTCTGCTTTACAAGCCAATTCAATCAACTCAGACTTCTCATTTTCAGCTGTCTTCTTACTATCATTGTCATCTTCCTCGTCTGGAGCTGCTGAGATTTCCACTTCCGAAGCAGCAGTACTGCCTTTTGATTTGGCAGCAGGATGTAGCATGGCATTCTTCCTTCCATTTTCTGTCTCCTCAACATTCTTCCGGATACTACTATCTTCCCCAACCAAGTCAATTTTGGAATTAGAAGGATCAACCTTCATCATGGCTCTACTGGAAAGTTGTTTCTTCCTTTTGCTTGCTTTCTTCTTCAAGCCACCACACTTCAACGTTGGTTCACAAAAGTCAGAATTCTTGCTACCAACTGCCATCTCAAGATCAGTTTCATTACGGCGAGTACTGAAATAAAATGAAACCTAAATGTTTGGTAGGTTTAAAAAAATAAATTATAAAAACGACTAAAATTGATAGTTTAAATATTAAATACACGGTTTACCCTTAATTATATAATCGAAAGTCGTTTGAATATGATTCAAAGTAGTAAAAGATTATAAACTCAAATCCTCTGTATCTACAAAAATTACAAAAAGCCTCGGTACCGTAAGATCTCTCGAAGAATATAATGAACTTAAAAAAGGAATCGGAGATTCAAGCAATCAGTAACTGGCTCCTCTCCTAAGCATTTCAGAGTATTCCAAATCAGAAGTTTGTCGTTGTAACTTGATCTCCTCGTAGAACTTGGCTATAAACTTCTCCGCCTTGGAATCGATCCCTTCTTCCTCCGCCGGAAAAGTATAAACACACGAACTTTTCTCGTCACAGCCTTCATATCCCCACTCTTCTTCGTCTTCGTCTTCCACGATATTCGAACACGTCGAGTAACTCTTGCTGGTGTTCCCATCATCGTATTCATCGATGCCCAAATCATCGTATCGATCGAAGTCCACCGCCTCGGCGCTAACGCAAGAGAGAAGGAACCGCATCGAAGCGGAGCGCTGCACGGCCTTGACGTCGATGATGGGCGTCTCGTTGAAAGAGAACTGGCGTTCCTTGTAATGGAGTCGGTCGTTACAAGTATGAGCCGCCGCCGCAGTCGACGAATGGCCGAGACCCTTTAGGAACTTTGGCACCAATCGCAGCTCCGTCATGAGCCGCCGCTTGAACACTCCGCCTTTTCTTTTCCATAATAATGCTAGACGCAGCAGTCTCCATGCTCTCCGACCGAAATCGCCGTTCTTCTTCGTCAGCTTCATAATAAGTTTTTTTTTTTTTAGCTGAATTGTGAGTGAAGGTTGGCTATTTATATGTAATTATGTTGGTCCATTTAAAATGGGTACGCGGAGAGAGAGAGAGAGAAAAACAATGGTTTTTGGTAATATTCTGTAAGAAGTCCTTGTATTATATACTTTTAACGGTTTAGTCTCTCTTATTATTTGATATTTTTTAATCCATTAATTTTTCAAAATATGTCGAAATGCTATGTACCTTAATCTTTTTCAATATAATAGGATTAATAATATCTCATTTAATCTCTTTTTACCTTTTCTAATCTATAAAAAAAGGTTGTAATATAGGTAGAAGGATAATTTTTGTCAATGTAGTAGACTTAATTTATCACTTTTACACATATCGTATTTTCACATTAATTTAGCCATCGAAGTTGTTTAATTGCATCATTCTATACACTATCCCTAACTTAAAACCCTAAATTATAAACACTAAACCCTAAACCATACCCCCATAACATATAAATCATAAACCTTCAACCGAACTTAGGTTTTATAATTTATGGTTTTAAGTTAGGGTAGGTATAAAATAATATAATTAAACAACTTTAAAGGCTAAATTGATTCGAAAATACAATAGCGACGAAAATGATAAATTGAGTCTATTACAAGAACAAAAATGACCCTTAAGGTTATAATATATATTACTTCATCATACTTTTTTTAAATATAAATCACATCAAATTATCTTAGAAAATTAACGGAAAATGGTGTCATGAATAAAAATACACATTTTAAAAAATTAAAACCGGTCGAAATATAAAACAAGATGACTAAATCGATTAAAAACACATGGTAAAGGGCTATTTATAAACAATTGCCCATTTGTTTTTGTTTGGTTAGAAATATTAGAAGCAATTGGCGGTGGAACTTCGTGGGAAACACGGGTTGTACGCGAGCCAAATAGAGCTGTCGCCGGTTTATTTCCAAATATATCCCTGTCTCCTTTATTACTTAACCAGAACAAGCAGAAAATGCTAACAAAAAAAATATTGGACAAAAACAATTGTAAATTATAAAAATAATCAGAATTATTTTTTTATTAAGTTGAGGTAAGTATAAGATAATATTTGTTTAAAAATAATTCTTAATTATTTAACACCGAATACTCATACTCTTTATATTCTTGGAGTTTGAGTCTGAGACATAAAAAATAACAATAATTCATTTACTATTGAATTTACTCGCTTAGTGAAAGTAAGAATTAATAAAGTATTTCTCGGATGTTTTTTTTATAAATAATATTTACAATTAGATTTAAAGGTCATCTTTACCCCTGTAGTAGACTTAATTTATCATTTTTCTATCTATCATATTTTCGCATCAATTTAGCCATTAAAATTACTTAATTGCATCATTTTATACCGTCCTAACTTACAACACTAAATTATAAACCCAAAGTTATGATTTAGGGTGTAAGGAGTATGATGTTACGGTCTAGGGTTTATAGTTTCTAATTTAGTGTTTAAAGTTATAGGTAAGATATAGAATGATGTAATTGAGTAATTTCGAGAGTTAAATTGATATGAAAATACGATAAGAGCGAAAGTAATAAATTATAACTATTACAGGGGTAAAATTACCCTTTTGCCTTGCAATTAAATTAGCAATTCTAACAATGCGAAAGGGTGTTATAGTCATTGAAATTATATTTAGAAGAAAACAAGAAGAATAAGGTAAGGCAAATGATTGAAGTGTAGGCCCCTTGTGGTTAGAACTTAGATGGACACGCGTTTTGTCTTATTATTTATTTAAAGATTTTAGTTAGGTTAATGATTAAGGAAAGAAAGAAAGAACATATTATTTATTTAAAGATTTTAGTTAGGTTAATGATTAAGGAAAGAAAGAAAGAACATATTATTTATTTAAAGATTTTAGTTAGGTTAATGATTAAGGAAAGAAAGAAAGAACGTCATTGAACCTTGCGGCAAGGTAAACGCTTTCCGTATCGTTTAACGGTACGTGCAAATAAAGAAATCGGAGTCATAAACTCTTCCGACAACCGATTATACACACATATTTTACTTTTAGGGTAAAATAATCCGACTATAAGATACTATTTTATTAAGTATTTCGACTATTAAAAGTTATAAATAATCTTCTGACTATAGAATGTTACTTTATCTTATCGATCATTAAAAGTTACAAAACGGTCACCTTACTATTCGTCGGCCACCTTACTATTCGTTAATCTTTATGTTCTATACTCGAATTTTTGCGTTAAAAATTTTGGCGGTTATCTAATATGAACGTTAATCTAATAAATGGGATATACTAGTCATTTGAGATTTTGGCGGTTATCTAATATGAACGTTAATCTAATAAATGTGAAGAACATTGAGGAACTTCCAGTGTAGTTCTACCATGAGCTAAAGAAAAAACCACACCTAGTCGTGTGCAGTTGGAAATATATTACCTTCCAGATGCAGATGCAGCTGCAGCAAAGAATTTTTCATTCCTACGAATTGGATCTGGGGCAATGAAATGGGTTGCCTGATATGACCATTGATGAGAATCTCTACAAAACTTGCCTTTCAATCCCCGAATGACTTGCTGAAATTCTTTTCTCTGCAGTCTGTGGCCACTCAATATAAAACATGAAGGCTCGTTTTTCATTCTGTTCAAAACCTTCTGCAGCGGTTGCCTGGGCTGTTAGAATCAACCTTCTGCGATTTTTCATTAGTCCTCGATGTTTTGCTATTGGGTTTACGAACTGATTTCCCAGCAATCTCCCCATGATGAACAGGGCTGCTCTCGTCTACTGCCCCGGAGATTTCCACTTTCGAAGTAGTGCTGCCTTTTGGTTCGGGAGCGGGATGCGGCGCTACATTCTCCTTTTCATTTTCCGTCTCCTCAACAGTTTTCCGGACACTACTATTTTCCCCAACCAAATCATTTTTGGAGTTGGAAGGATCAGCCTTCATTATGGCGCTACTGGAAGTCTGTTTCTTCCTCTTGCTTGCTCTCTTTTTCAAGCCACCACATTTGAACGTTGGTTCATCAAAGTCAGAATTCTTGCTACCAACTGCCTTCCCAGGATCAGTTTCATTTGTTCTATTCTCCGAGGCAGATGGACTCCCATGTTGAATGGAATCATGGCTGACATGTTCCACTTCTACAAATGTTTCTGCTTTACAAGCCAATTCAATCAACTCAGACTTCTCATTTTCAGCTGTCTTCTTACTATCATTGTCATCTTCCTCGTCTGGAGCTGCTGAGATTTCCACTTCCGAAGCAGCAGTACTGCCTTTTGATTTGGCAGCAGGATGTAGCATGGCATTCTTCCTTCCATTTTCTGTCTCCTCAACATTCTTCCGGATACTACTATCTTCCCCAACCAAGTCAATTTTGGAATTAGAAGGATCAACCTTCATCATGGTTCTACTGGAAAGTTGTTTCTTCCTTTTGCTTGCTTTCTTCTTCAAGCCGCCACACTTCAACGTTGGTTCACCAAAGTCAGAATTCTTGCTACCAACTGCCCTCTCAAGATCAGTTTCATTACGGCGAGCACTGAAATAAAATGAAACCTAAATGTTTGGTAGGTTTAAAAAAATAAATTATAAAAACGATTAAAATTGATAGTTTAAATATTAAATACGCGGTTTACCCTTAATTATATAATCCAAAGTCGTTTGAATATGATTCAAAGTAGTAAAAGATTATAAACTCAAATCCTCTGTATCTACAAAAATTACAAAAAGCCTCGGTACCGTAAGATCTCTCGAAGAATATAATGAACTTAAAAAAGGAATCGGAGATTCAAGCAATCAATAACTGGCTCCTCTCCTAAGCATTTCAGAGTATTCCAAATCAGAAGTTTGTCGTTGTAACTTGATCTCCTCGTAGAACTTGGCTATAAACTTCTCCGCCTTGGAATCGATCCCTTCTTCCTCCGCCGGAAAAGTATAAACACACGAACTTTTCTCGTCACAGCCTTCATATCCCCACTCTTCTTCGTCTTCGTCTTCCACGATATTCGAACACGTCGAGTAACTCTTGCTGGTGTTCCCATCATCGTATTCATCGATGCCCAAATCATCGTATCGATCGAAGTCCACCGCCTCGGCGCTAACGCAAGAGAGAAGGAACCGCATCGAAGCGGAGCGCTGCACGGCCTTGACGTCGATGATGGGCGTCTCGTTGAAAGAGAACTGGCGTTCCTTGTAATGGAGTCGGTCGTTACAAGTATGAGCCGCCGCCGCAGTCGACGAATGGCCGAGACCCTTTAGGAACTTTGGCACCAATCGCAGCTCCGTCATGAGCCGCCGCTTGAACACTCCGCCTTTTCTTTTCCATAATAATGCTAGACGCAGCAGTCTCCATGCTCTCCGACCGAAATCGCCGTTCTTCTTCGTCAGCTTCATAATAAGTTTTTTTTTTTTTTTAGCTGAATTGTGAGTGAAGGTTGGCTATTTATATGTAATTATGTTGGTCCATTTAAAATGGGTACGCGGAGAGAGAGAGAGAGAAAAACAATGGTTTTTGGTAATATTCTGTAAGAAGTCCTTGTATTATATACTTTTAACGGTTTGGTCTCTCTTATTATTTGATATTTTTTAATCCATTAATTTTTCAAAATATGACGAAATGCTATGTACCTTAATCTTTTTCAATATAATAGGATTAATAATATCTCATTTAATCTCTTTTTACCTTTTCTAATCTATAAAAAAAGGTTGTAATATAGGTAGAAGGATAATTTTTATCAATGTAGTAGACTTAATTTATCACTTTTACACATATCGTATTTTCACATTAATTTAGCCATCGAAGTTGTTTAATTGCATCATTCTATACACTATCCCTAACTTAAAACCCTAAATTATAAACACTAAACCCTAAACCATACCCCCATAACATATAAATCATAAACCTTCAACCGAACTTAGGTTTTATAATTTATGGTTTTAAGTTAGGGTAGGTATAAAATAATATAATTAAACAACTTTAAAGGCTAAATTGATGCGAAAATACAATAGCGACGAAAATGATAAATTGAGTCTATTACAAGAACAAAAATGACCCTTAAGGTTATAATATATATTACTTCATCATACTTTTTTTAAATATAAATCACATCAAATTATCTTAGAAAATTAACGGAAAATGGTGTCATGAATAAAAATACACATTTTAAAAAATTAAAACCGGTCGAAATATAAAACAAGATGACTAAATCGATTAAAAACACATGGTAAAGGGCTATTTATAAACAATTGCCCATTTGTTTTTGTTTGGTTAGAAATATTAGAAGCAATTGGCGGTGGAACTTCGTGGGAAACACGGGTTGTACGCGAGCCAAATAGAGCTGTCGCCGGTTTATTTCCAAATATATCCCTGTCTCCTTTATTACTTAACCATAACAAGCAGAAAATGCTAACAAAAAAAATATTGGACAAAAACAATTGTAAATTATAAAAATAATCAGAATTATTTTTTTATTAAGTTGAGGTAAGTATAAGATAATATTTGTTTAAAAATAATTCTTAATTATTTAACACCGAATACTCATACTCTTTATATTCTTGGAGTTTGAGTCTGAGATATAAAAAATAACAATAATTCATTTACTATTGAATTTACTCGTTTAGTGAAAGTAAGAATTAATAAAGTATTTCTCGGATATTTTTTTATAAATAATATTTACAATTAGATTTAAAGGTCATCTTTACCTCTGTAGTAGACTTAATTTATCATTTTTCTACCTATTATATTTTCGCATCAATTTAACAATTAAAATTGTTTAATTGCATCATTTTATACAGTCCTAACCTACAACACTAAATTATAAACCCAAAGTTATGATTTAGGGTGTAAGGAGTATGATGTTACGGTCTAGGGTTTATAGTTTCTAATTTAGTGTTTAAAGTTATAGGTAAGATATAGAATGATGTAATTGAGTAATTTCGAGAGTTAAATTGATACGAAAATACGATAAGAGCGAAAGTAATAAATTATAACTACTACAGGGGTAAAATTACCCTTTTGCCTTGCAATTAAATTAGCAATTCTAACAATGCGAAAGGGTGTTATAGTCATTGAAATTATATTTAGAAGAAAACAAGAAGAATAAGGTAAGGCAAATGATTGAAGTGTAGGCCCCTTGTGGTTAGAACTTAGATGGACACGCGTTTTGTCTTATTATTTATTTAAAGATTTTAGTTAGGTTAATGATTAAGGAAAGAAAGAAAGAACATATTATTTATTTAAAGATTTTAGTTAGGTTAATGATTAAGGAAAGAAAGAAAGAACATATTATTTATTTAAAGATTTTAGTTAGGTTAATGATTAAGGAAAGAAAGAAAGAACGTCATTGAACCTTGCGGCAAGGTAAACGCTTTCCGTATCGTTTAACGGTACGTGCAAATAAAGAAATCGGAGTCATAAACTCTTCCGACAACCGATTATACACACATATTTTACTTTTAGGGTAAAATAATCCGACTATAAGATACTATTTTATTAAGTATTTCGATTATTAAAAGTTATAAATAATCTTCTGACTATAGAATGTTACTTTATTTTCTCGATCATTAAAAGTTACAAAACGGTCACCTTATTATTCGTCGGCCACCTTACTATTCGTTAATCTTTATGTTCTATACTCGAATTTTTGCGTTAAAATTTTTGGCGGTTATCTAATATGAACGTTAATCTAATAAATGGAATATACTAGTCATTTGAGATTTTGGGATATGATTTTATCATATCACAGTCAATAGGTTAGCGTTCAGCCGAGAATAACGTCAAATTTTTAATAGAAAATGATGAGTTTGTAGCATAATGAATAGTCGGGATGATCATTTTGTAACATTTAATAATTGAGAGACTCAACAAAGTAACATTATATAGTCGAATGAACTTAATAAAGTAATATCCTATAGTTGGAGACCATTTGTGTAATTAACCCTTTAACTTTCAAATGTCTGAATACAATGTCCCCGGAAGCTCTGTTACTAATCATATTATTAATTCTTTAATTGGGATCAAACTGTAAGCAACTTCCTGTAATTTACTTCGAAAAGTTATGTAGATTCTCACACCAAATTAAACAAATTATATATGGGAATAGTTATAGAACGATGGATTCAAAATTGTAAAATTGTTATATAGTCCCTTTAAAATTTGTAGGTTTACAAATTACTGTAATGGTTAGATTATATTTTGAGTTTTTGGCCTCTAAAAATTTGAGTTTCAATATTTGTCCCTGCAAGCTGCAACGTGGTTACATTCAGATAGGATAAAAACATGTAGTCCCTGAGCTTTTCAACTCTTATTATTTACTTCCCGAATATTTTTTCTTTGCCTACATTAGTTCTTATACTCGACAATTCTTTTTATTCATGTTAGTCTCGAAAATTGACAAATTTTCAACTTGGTCCATGAATTCAAACTCCATTGAAAAGCTAAAATGTGTGACGGAATCTAAATTTAGGAAGTAAATAAGGAAAAGTTGTCCAAATTCAGAACTAATGCAGACCATAAGGTTCAAATGGGAAAAGCTGTAAAAAAGAATTAGGAACCAAAGTTAAAAACATTGTTAAATTAAAGGATTAAATATTGTTTTGTCCCTTTAAGATGAAACCCTCACCCAACGACAGCTTGTTGGGAACATAAAATATATATTCTAGGAGTCCTAGCCAAGGGCATTTCTGTGTTTCGGTTAAACTACAGAGTGCCCACATGCTTCAAACTGTTGGGTTGGTGTCCCGGTTTACAGCTTGTCAATATGTCAACACAGATGAATGCCAGAAGTGCATTCATCTTTTTATAAATTGTACAAAGAAATTTCCCCTTGTAGGTAATCTGTTCAAGCAAGCCACCAAAGTCTAGGTATGGACATAGGACACCAAACAACCCTACACCATTAGAGATGAATATTCAACTCGAATCTGACAGACAGAGTCATCTTAAATATTTTTGGACCCCCAATGAAAACTAAAAAAATAAGCCCCTATAGAATGAAATTATAATTCATTACTTTGAACGGTTAATTTAATATTATATTAATAAACCATAAAAATGATTAATTTTTATTAAATTTTATTTTTATTATTTTGTTAAAAAAACACCTTAAATATAACTAAGAGATAATAAATATAAAACATTGAATGTGAGTATGATATGAAGTTTGATTTTGAATAATAAATAAATAATGATATTTTCCATAAGAGTCGACCTTGCTAACAAGTTTCGATCCAATTAAATCTCATAAGGTCAAACCTTTTGTTGTTCAAAATTTGAGTTCGAGTTGGATTGAATTTGACTTTAGGATAAAAACACGATTCAAAAAAAGATAATAAAATAATTTCCCCTATATATTTAAAGATAATTAATATAATAAACATCTCTATATTGTTTTTTCGATTAAGTCTTTAGTTTATCTGATATGTATATAGATGGGCTATGATCCAATTACAAAGTGTAAAACTAAAAAAATTTACATTTTTTTAGGATCGTTAGATTATGAAAAATCAAAGGTTGAGATTAACAATAGAAAAAGAGAAGATACTCATTAGAAAAAAAGAGAGTTAATCACAACTTTTGATTTCCTCTAATCCAACGATCCTGAAAGGATGTAAAACTTTTCGACTCAACCGACCCATGAACATTCCTATTCACCATGGCAACTTCTTCTCCCTTGGCCTAAGCTCTCTCCAAACTTTGCTCATCGGGCACTTAATTCCCTGCACAGGCCAGACTTTAGCTTGAAAATTTTGTAAAGCAGGTTCTTCCATTCCCAACTGTTGCCTTGAGATAATGGAACCTGCACTATGGATCTACCTTTGAGAACATATACATTGCTACACTCTACCCACAAATCAAAATTGCCCACAAGTTTTGTTCCAACTGAGCAAGTCTTACAGCCCCAATCCTCCACCCACAAGTTTTGTTTGGGCCTGCACACTTGCTCTCAACTTGCAGGTAACAGAGCACTAGCTATGGATTGAGGGGCAGGTGGGGACAATCACCCCTGAAAATTTAAAATGACAATATATTTTAGATTTTTCCTATTTATTTTTTATGAAATCTATTTTAACCTCTTAATATTTTTATAAGTTCAAGTTAATCCCCCAACATAAATATTTTAGATTTTATAAGTTTAAATTCACTCCTACTATTTTAAAAGTTCAAGTTAATCCCCCAACATAAAATCATGAATCCATCCTTGATCACCATGCACTTAATCACTAATGCCCTTCCAATCCATGAAAACCTCATACAAATATGATTACTACAATCAATAAACCCTAGAGCTCGTAGAAATTCCCTAGCACACATTTCACCACCAACAATTAAATCTACCGTTCCCAACCAGCAAACCATATGTGAAACAAAGATGTGTGAAAACTTTATCTCGAGTGTTTTAGGGCGAAATTGAATGACCTCATAGGCAATGGCAGAACAAAAAATATTTTTCAAAATCGGCATACATATATTAATCATGTAACTTTTTTATACAAGGTAAGCACAACTAAATTTCCAGGTGGACAAAACTATTAAAATATGTAATCATGTAACCGCTTATAGGCAATCAAGCAAAGGATACTGTTCTCAGTTGGAAGCCTATTAAACTAAAAAGAGAGTTGGGCGACCGGTAACTCTTGCGCACCAGGCCGAGATGGTACCTACAAAATGCTGGCCAAAATCATTGCTGGTTGCCCGAGACATCATATTGGGAAACTTCTCATTAGCGGCTAATGGGGTAAATAGCATCATTTACCTCTAATTTTGTTACAACAATAGTAATACTAAACTATCATTTAATCTCAAGATTTGGAACTTAAATCAACCATTAAACCAAAATCTATAGCACTAATGCTAATGTTCTTCAAAAAAAAATTGAAGGTTAGATCAACCATGAACCTCGAGCACATATCATTAATACCAATGTTCTTGAGCATATTCAACTTTCTTGGCAAACGATTCTCATTCCGATCATTAATAGAGATAATGAAGTTACAATAATATATATAATCATATATTCCAAATTGAAAGAGAAAATTTGTCATAAAGCATTTATATAAATGTGCTATCTTCTTACTTGCCCAGTTTCTTTGTTTCTAGCCCAAAAATGTCTAAACCATCGATTTCATCGGGTCCCACTCTCTATCCGACGTGTACACAATCTGAGCCGTGCTTCCGCCGCTTTTAATATCCACGGACGATCTGCGAGCACTTGTTCTTGATCCAACGAAAACCTTTCCTCAAAGAGGCCTTCATTTTCCCTTCCACGGTGTAAACCTTGTACTTGGCTATCCTCTTCTTCCTCTTCATCTCGGGATCCGTAAAACCCCACGGCTTCGAGTTCGACGACGCTTGACTCGTCCGAGCCGGAACAGGCGGTAAATCAGGCGAGCCGGAGAAGATCTGATTGGATGCGACGACGCTCGTGTTCTTCCCGCTAACTATTTCCATCCGCCGCCCCGGCCCGCACGGCGTTTGACCCGACCCGTAGCCCTCCATCGAGACAGCAAGACGAGAAAAATGAATATGGGAAATGGGGAAATCGACGGGGTTAGGGTTTGGGAACTCGAGATTACTCTGTGGAATGAATTTGAAAACAGATTTTAAAGCATCTTTTTCTTCGCTTATTTTTAGCTGAATTATGACGTGGTTTCAGTACGGGATGATTCTCTTTCCTGAAATTCGTCACAAAAAATCAAACAAATCAGGGTTTAATCTGAAAATTAAAGATGCAGCCTCGAGTTTGGTGCTTGGGACTGTCTTCTCTCTGATTATTGGAAAATGTTCTGCTCGGCTAACTTCCTGTATTAATTACTTAATTAATTAATCAATTGCATTAAATTAATTACGCATGTTTAGGCCAAAAGCTTGATGATCGGATCAGATAGACGGAAATCTATATTTGATATGATATTATATGTGATTTTATACATAAAAAATATCATTAAAAATTAAAATTAAATTAACATAAATTCAATTTTTAAATTTCCCAGAGATCAGATTGCCCTTATGGTAAGGCAAATCACCTTTAAACGTGAGACACGAGACGACTCACGGTCTTCTTCCCATGATCGAGTACGAGAATCTTGTGCTTTGTTATTTACCAATTTTACACATTATAAAAGATAGAAACTAAGGCCAAAGATATCGTGGTTCAGATTTTCTGAATCAAATCGATCAGCATTATCATCTCATTCTGATGTTTTTTTATATAAAAAAGATTAGGTCACTCCTAGTATAGGGTAGGACATACTTAAGATTCAAGAGTAATGTGATAGAATTTAAATTTAATCTTAAAAACTTAAATTCATTAATCTCAATCACTTGTATCAACACTCGTTGGCATCATCTGAGTCTGATCTAATATCTAATTTAGTTACATATAAATCAAATGTTTAATATAATTACTTATAAACTTAATGTTTAATCGAATATCATTGTTTATAAAACTTGTATATATATATATATATATATATATATACACTACAATGAGATTATAATAAAAATCATTGAAAAATTGATACCTTTCAATGAAATTGCGACTCATTCTCAAAGCTTCAACATATCCTAGCGTAAAACTAATAAATTTTACAGTGAAAAAAAATAATAAATTAATCTCTTTATTTGATTTCTCTCCATCCAATAATCATGAAAATGTTTAATTCTACATTACAGTGAAAAAAACAATAAAGTATATCTTTTTTTGATTTTTCTCCATCCAATAATCATGAAAATGTTTAATTTTACATTAGGTATAAGTAGGGTTTAGGGTTTTGACTTGATCCGACCCGATCGGAGTCGGATTTTTTTTTAAAATTTAGATTTGGGTCGGTCAAGTTGGATTTTTTAAGGGGCCAAGTCAGGTCTAATTATGGTGGAGGGTGAAAAAACTCTGACTCGACCAGATCTGATGATAATAGTGTAATTTTCATAAATTTTTATTATTATTTTAATTAAATCCTTAATTATATTGGGTCAAGTCGGATTTATACTCTAAAAAATCGGGTTGGGTCAAAATGGGATGAAGATATATATTTTTCGAATTGGTTGGGTTCGAGTGGAGGACATATATTTTCTAGTCGGGTCAGGTTCAGGTGGAGGGTGTTTATTTTGGGTTGGATCGGTTGACCAAAAACCCGATCCTAAACCGATCCGTTGCCATCCTTGGTATAAGGGTATCCTAGTCCCCCTCTCTCTCTCTATATATATATAACTACAACATTTGTTGTGGTGTTTGTTAATTATTAAAGGTGTAAATTTGTGTGTTTAAATTAGTATGGGGTCATTAATGTGTATTTTTAACGTACAATAAATATTTGAAGGCTTATGGTTGAGGTTAGGGGGTCACTTTGAAGTATTGTCGAACTAAATCTTTGAGTTTTTTAATATCAATTTTAAAACAAGACTCTTGGAAACCTCCAAAGTCACGACAACAATGAAATATATGAGAAGGCAGTGAAGATTCTTGAAACTTATTGGGTGGAAGAAGACGATGAGCCTTTACCCCCTGGTGACGCATCACAATCTGGGTTCCAGTTCGGAGGCAATTAACTTCCTGTTCCCTCCGGTGGATTCAATTTCAATTGAAGGTGCGAATTAAATTTCTGTTTTCATTGTTAACTTGCAATATGAAAGGTTGTAAGAAGCCTAGATCGTATTATTTTGTGCTTTGCATCTGGAATTGGTTGCGTGCTGTGTATGGCCATATCTGCAAAGCAATCCAGTTTTCCAAAGATCTAATATGCCAAAACTTATATTTCTTAATCGTGGCCGTCTCGACTTGTTTTTGAATTTGCAGGACACTTGTTGGAGTAGAATGAAGCTTGACAGTGAGTATTTTCTCGGTGCTACTCGGAACCTATAGTTGAAGCGATCCTAAAGTATGTCTCGGAACCGTGGCAACTGGTAAAAATGATTGAAGAGTCCGGACAGGGTTTCAAATCCAGGTCGCGATCGCATTTTCAGTCATTTCGGGTTTACCGTGATTGTGGCCGTCGTAGGCGCTATTACGGGTGTAGCAGGTAACTCGGACGGCGGCAAAACCGCTATATCACGGACGAAATCACGTTTTCGGAACGTCATTTGAAACCCTGGTCCGGATGTAATGCCCCGGAACCTGGGTCAGTACTTTTATGAAATCAAGTTTGATTTTAGGGTAAATTAAGCATTTAGTATTTAAATTATCAACTTTAATCCATTTAATATCTAAATTTTAAATTTTTTAAAATCATACCTAATGTTTAGCTTTTGTTTTATTTTAGTACCCGTCATTAGAAATTTAACGCGTTTAATACCTAAACTATCAGTTTTAGTCTGTTTTAATATCTATACTTTCAATTATTTTCAAAATTTAATGTTAAATTTGAACGGATACTAAAATGAAACAAAAAATAAACTTTAGGTATGGTTTTGAAAAAATTAAAAAATTTAGTTATTAAAACGGACCAAAACTGATAATTTAGTTACTAAAATGTATCATATTTTGTTTGTATTTTCATGCATTGCTCTTTTAGATTTGCTGCTTGCTACACATAAACAAACATATTCTTGTACCAATTTGGACAAATTTGAACGTATACTTCAATTATAAATGAATCGAATTTGAATGACCAGGTATCAGATTTTAGAATATATTTATTTTTATGTATAAAATCACGCTTTAAACTAAACGATTTATATTACTTTTATCGTCTCATTATGATAATATGATCCAATGAATATTGATCTGATCTTATAAAATTATATAATTTTTCTTTAAGAAAATAATCTAGGTCGATACGAGTTAAATTTTAAAAGAATGATAATCGAGTTTAAGATAAAAACTATTTTATCAAAATAAAATCTGAAATACTTTATCATTGAAGAACATATTTATCTTTTAGTTTTTATTTTTCGTTTTCATTCTCTCATCGTCATCAATCACATGTCATTGTACCGACCTTCATTTATCGGTTATCATTGAACTTAAAATTTTCTCAACAACCCTTTTCTGGTCTCTTAATTTTATCTGGTGTTCGTTTATCTGAAAATATCATGATGTCATGAATCTAGGTTAAAATCGGTCGTTTCTTTTATTTTTATCTTATTTTTCGTCGTCAGCTTAGCCCATATCAAATCAAATTCAAATAAAGATATATAAATCTAAAGTAAGACGATTAAAATCCAACTCATACATATCCTTAATCTCATGTTATTACTAATTAATTTATACAACTTGAATTTTTTTATATAATTTAATTTAATAAATTTTAATTAAATTTTAATTAATATAATCGTACTTACCAACTTAACTTAATAGGCCTTACTATATTCTCTCAGATAATCATATTATTAATCTACCTCGTGAACTGGATTCCATAACGGTATATGTACGTTAGGGTTCCCCAAAATTCAAATTCAAAATCAGCGGCACCATAGTTATTATCACCACATCTAAGCCCGATTTCCATAAAAAATAATAAAATAATTTCGAAATAGAAAGTAATCCCAATAAAAGATGAGGGAAAACCTCTATAAAACAACAGTATCTCGCCCGACCTAAGGCCCAACCTCCCCCGACCCAATAACCAAACCACTCTTTCCCCACTGTCATTTTCTCAGAACTATCTATCGCCGGAAATCGTACCCTCCCCTTATTTCACCTGCAAATTAATCGGCGATTCAATCAGATTAACTGAAAAGTAACACGAAGATGTCTCTAAGACCGAGCGCGAGGACTGAGGTTCGACGGAACAGGTACAAGGTGGCGGTTGATGCGGAGGAAGGCCGGCGGAGGAGAGAAGACGACATGGTTGAGATCCGGAAGAACAAGAGAGAAGAGAATCTTCTAAAGAAGCGGCGCGAAGGATTTCTCGCTCAACAAACACAACCGCAGCTTCTCTCTTCTGGCGCCGGTTCCGAGAAAAAGGTAGATTCTACTGATTAATCGATTTGATCCTTTGGCTCGTGAATGATGAGCTGTGTATGATTTTCCGATCTGATTGATGCTGCTTTATTTGGATTCGGTAGTGCCTCTTGCAGTGTTACGAATAACTAATTATTAGGTAGCAGAAGCTGCATTAATCAAACGGCGTGAAGTGTTTGTTTAATTTATTGATTGTACTTGACCTCAAGAAGAAAATATACGGATTTTTTTACTTATTTACTAGTGAATTAAAATTGATTTTAATATTTTAAATGTCTGATGGCAGTTAGAAAGTCTTCCTGCTATGGTTGCTGGTGTTTGGTCGGATGATAGGAATGCGCAGCTTGAGGCAACCACTCATTTCCGGAAGCTGCTATCAATAGGTTGATATTTTGTTTCGGTGTTTCTCCTAGTTGATATCATTTTTGCTTGAAATTTTAGGTTCACTCTTATTTTATCTGCAGAACGTAATCCTCCAATCAATGAAGTTGTACAATCAGGTGTTGTTCCTCGCTTTGTTGAGTTCCTTGCTAGGGAGGACTTCCCTCAGCTTCAGGTCTGATATTTCGTTTCTGAAGTAAATAGGATTTTGCTTAACCTCTTTGTTACCTATTTTTCATTGTTTCATTTCTTTGTTTTGTAGTTTGAGGCAGCTTGGGCTCTCACAAATATTGCTTCAGGGACATCAGAA